GTGAGCGGCCAGCAGCCGCAGTGAGCGGCCGTCCAGAAGCCGGCGACTGATCTGCCTCGCCAGGGAAGAGCGCAATGATGGTGCCAACTTGGGCCAGTGTCCTCCGCAACTAGACTGAGGAACGGGATGACAGCGGCTTGTCTGTTCCCCTTCCCTGATTCCCCAGCACTGTTCCCATCCCCTCAATTCCCCAATAAAAATCTTTACAAAAACAAAAAACAAAAAAAACAACTCCCTGCCTTTAAAAAAAAAAAAAAGTGCGCCCCATGATTGCCCCAGCTTACTGTCTGGAGGGGTTTTTTAGGGCAGGATACAGGAAGGGGAAATTGAGGACGAGACAGAAGTTTCCCTGAGTCGAAGAGACAGAGCTGAGAGTCTCAGGAAACTAAGGCGGCTAGAATTCATAGGACAGAGAGAGGAGAGCTGCAAAGATCGAAGTTCTTCAGAGACCTCTCTACCCCCTTAAATAGTCAGCAGAGTACTGATCAGTACGCATGTCAGGAAACTACGAGAAGCTGAGGAAAGAACCTACCAAAGAGCCAGAAACAGTGCTTGCGCCCCGCAGCCTGACTGAACAATTCATTAATTCGTGGGGTATTGGATAGAGTACTCAGGAAGGTCTTGCCTTAGTAATGGGAAATAATTATCCTTAGACATAGAGCACCACTCCAAACCCACCTAACAAAACATAAACGCGAGACCAAAAAGAGATCAAAGTGTTTCCAAGGAACGTAACAGCTCAAGAAGGTTTATAAGAATGCAAAAAAAATGCAGTACCCAATCAGGTAAAATTCAAATATCTCCCATCTCATCAAAGATTACCAGGCATGCAAACAAGCAGGAAAGCACAGTCCATAATGAGGAAAACAAAACCAATTAAAATCGCCCCAGAGGCTTCCGGTCAAGATGGCAGATTAGGTAAAAGCTGTGCTTGCCTCCTCTCATGACCACAACGAAATTATACCCATATATTCAAAAAACTTGAGGACATAAAAAAGACCCTAATGAAAAACAAAGCTATAGACAAAAGTTAAGATGTACGATGATTTAAATAAAAAGAAAAGATTTCCACTTCGGATTACAATGTGTGAACTACTGGCATATGGCAGAATAGCAAGAGCATGAAAAAAAGAATTTAAACATTTCTAAATGTAGGTAAACAGTAAGTTTAACTTTTAAACTCAAGATATGCACAATTAAGGCACTAGTGTTGTCAAGTTAAGGTGCCTCTAATGCATAAAAATTAGGCCAAAGACTGTACAATAAAATTATGTGAAATATGCTCATTTATCAATTTCTAAATAAATCTGATTTATTTTTAACTGACATCTTAATTATCTATATTTACATCTGGAACATAACAACTTTTCTATCTTTTAACAATCTGAGACAAACAAAATGTTATGATGATACATTAGCTGTGTCTCCTCAGTTTCTAGGGCTGAAATGTCATGTCAATTACTTAATAAGATTTAATTTTACCTTGTTTAATCTGTCCTGGAACAACACTTCTGGAAGTTGGAGGGGAACCCCGTGCCTTAGAAAGGTCTGGGGTGCTTGGTCTGGGTGGCCTTTAAAAAGAAGAAGAAGATACATGTATATATATATATATATGTTCATATTTTCACATTTCCAGAATGATTTAAAATATTAAACTGTCTAGTTCCAAATGAACTGCAAAAGAAACACATACAGAACACTTTCAATTTACTGTTCCATACAAAACATCAGGACTAAAAATAGGGACATTTTGTTTTGTACCTATTCACATTTTTTTTTGTTTTGTACCTATTAACATTTTCCATTTCAAATTTTAATATAGTAAATTAAAGGATTAGCAAATAGCAAGTAAAAATTTCACAGCTACAATTTATGCTTTATACTAGTTTAAGAAATATTTATGAACACTTTAATGTGCTACCACTGACAAATATAATTAGTCCTTCTTTGTTCAATATTAGCATGCTGAGATTTCAGCTCATCCCATATCATTAGTTCCAAGAAATCATGGGCTCATACATTGAGTTTAAAATAAGTCAGCCCTAAAATCTGAAAAAAGGTAATAAGGCATTAAGAAATCTTGGGCTTTAGAGGCAGGCTGTCTCATTTTGAATTCTGGCTCTACCACTTACTAGCTGTGTGATCTTGGACAAGTTACTTAACCTCTCTGTGTCTCAGTTTTCTCATCTGTAATAAAATATAAGTACCTACCTTATAGAGTTAAAAGCATTATTGAGATAGTATCTGTAAAGCACTTACAATAGAGCCAGACACAAGGTAAATGCTACTTAAGTATGTTACATTAAAAAAAAAAATCTTAACATGGTTAACTCTCACTAACATAATAAAACCACAGTTTAAAAAAAAGTCTTTAAGATTTCTGGGAAATAGGAAATAGCAATTCAAGTTAAGTCTAGAAATATTAAAAGAGTACTCTCCTATACTTAAAGTTTTCTCTTTTCCCATTGAAGAATTCTGACTATAGTTCTCATAAAATTCTGAAACCAATCATTCAACATATATTATTCATTACATAGGGGTCAAAATGAAGAGAAGCATTTCAACCAAATACACATTTTGAATTAAATGCTGTTGCGAACTTTAAGTAGGTACACTTCAAAGATCATATTTACTCAAGTGCTAGTCTAGAATTCATCTATTAAAACTGAACTGTAACCTGCTCTCTCATTCTGAATTCTTTTTTTAAATAGCTAGTCATTACGAGTATCGATAAAACTATATAATTTTTATTATGTTTTAAGTCATGCACATTGTGTCTTAAAATGTAAAGGGGGAACATTGAAATGACACAAAACTGCTAAAATGGGTAGAACCTCCCCCCTGCCAAAAAAAAAAAAAAAGGTAATAAACAGTGGCTGTTTTTTTTAACATGACAATAAAATCCAATGATCATGGTCACACCTGGTCGGGCCCTTCTTCATGTGATCACCAATAAACGTTGCGTTGGTCATACTCATTAGGGTATTTGCCAAAGAGATGACGGACAGTAGGTGCTGCGTGGTGACGGCTCGGGACACTCCGTACGTGCCCTTCCCCACTCCCTCCGTTGCCGGCAGCTTCCTTCCGACGTCCGCGTTCCCGTGGGATAGCTTAGAAGCGGCCCGGTTATGACCGGGAAGCATCAGTGACATGTGGCCTCCTCTCGATAAGAGACCGAATGAAACTGGGCAATGGGGTTTCAGCATCCCCAGGCGATCGAGACAAACTTCATCCAGAACTTCATTCAAACCCCAGGCGTGAAGGCAGGACATGAACAGCTTCGCGGTGTCCATCGTTAAATTATATTCTAACAGGGTCAAGGGCTTCGATTTGCTGGCCCGGTATTCAGGATCGCTCTCCTCCCTCCTCTGCCTCATGGTTTCCTCATCCTCCTCTTCGTCGTCCAGGAGGTGCTCCTTGATGTTTTCTTTGATGGTTTCTTTCACTTGTTGGAAGAGAACTGCTGCTCGTTTTCCGGTCAGAAAAGAGCCCCCTTTGTCCGGCCTGCCAGATGCTTTCTGCAAGTTCTCTGGGGAAATAAGCGCAGTGTTCGGCCTGGCGGCTTCTTCAGTCAGGAGGTGAATAATCAGCGCTTCCACATCAAAGAAAAGCACGTGTACATCCGGGTCTGTCAGGTTGGTCTTTATTGCTTGAACCATCAGGGAGTTATGAGAATATTTAGGTAAATTTCCCTGCAACAGATATTTATAAAAGATGGTTATAGTTAAAAGCGTTTAATTTCATACATTCATTGATGAACAATTAATAGTCAAAGGAATTTTAATTTTATTAAGCTGTCTCTTTAAGTATCTCTATCATGAAAGTAACTCACCAACTGCCAGTCAGCAGCAGGCAAAAGATACGAACTTACACAATCCGGAGAACTTTGTGCTGAAACAATTGTAAAATCATCGATTCGTTTTTAAGAAACAAAGAAATAAAAGTTCATTATAGAAGCTGGGAGTCTTCTTACTCATAGAACGGATTCAAATTGGTTTCAATAACTTACAGGCCACTCTTTTCTCTGGGAAAGAACTACTGTTCCACCTGAAAGAATAATGCATTTATCATGGCCTCTCATGCTTTTAAGTGGCTGCACCATCAAATCTCTCCTTTTCCCACTTTACCTCCCGTCTCTCCCTGTTCACAGATTGCTTTCTCTCAACAGAGAACATGCTCAAGTGTACTTAGAATCTACAAAAAGGTGAGATCCTTTGACCATGCCCCGTCTTCTATGTATTTCTCTCCCTGCTTTTAGCCAAATTTACAGAAAGTAGTAGACTCATCCAATGACAACTTTTCATTCTCTCCCCTCCTTAATCTCTTTGCAGTATCCGACACTGTTTTTACTGAGCAATCCAGAGAAAAAGTACGAATAAAAAGATTAAAAAGCCACCTCTCCCAGCTTCCCAGAGAACAACTTCCTGGCGGGCCTTCTAATTCTGACCACCCTTCTGAGCCATTCTGCAAACTCCTTCTTCCTCCCACATCATCTTCTATGTAGGTGGCTGCCTGATGTCCATCATCCGCCAGACCAGCCTCCGGCAGGAGTTTCCATCCTGTATTTCCAACGGCTTGTATTTGGATGTGCCACCGTCCCTCATATCCCGTGCACTAGTCTCCACCCTCCTGCTAAGCCCGCTGTACCTCCCATCTCATCAGCTGAGAGTCACTCCTCTTCCATTCTATCCCCACTGTCACCATCACCACATTCAGATCTTTATCTTTCTCCTCTACACAGGGTTCACTGCCCCTGTCTCTCCTTCCTCCAGTCTGACCTTCACAGAGCCACGGGGCTTTTTTCTGAAGCACAAATTTAATCATGTCACTCTTCTGCCAAAAACTGCCATTATCGTGGGTTATTAAGAGAAATAGAAAATACAAGATAATTAAAAACTAAATAAAAATATAGGTGAATATATCTGATCTCAAGATGAGAATGGACTTTCCAAACATACTTAAATTTAAAATTCACTACTATAAAAATGTTAAAAGGCAAGTAAGAAATAGGACTGATGAGTCATAATCTAAATATATAACTATTTTTTTATTCATTTTAGATATTATATTTTATTTATTTTTAACTAAAGTTCATTGGGGTGACAATGGTTAGTCAAGTTACATAGGTTTCAGGTGTACAATTCTGTAATACACCATCTGTATATCACATTGTGTGCTCACTCACGACCCAGTCAGTCAGTTCTCCTTTCATCACCACATATTTGATCCCTTTTACCCTCATCTACGACCCCTTACCCCTTACCCTCCGGTAACCACTAAACTATGGTCTGTCTGTGAGTTTTTATTTCTTCATTTGTTGGTCTTGTTCCTTTGTTGTTTTCAGTTTTATATACCACATATCAGTGAAATAATATGGTTCTCAGCTTTTTCTGTCTGACTTATTTCGCTTAGCATAATAATCTCAAGGCCCATCCATGTTGTCGCAAATGGCACTATTTCATCTTTTCTTATGGCAGAGTAGTATTCCATTGTGTATATATACCACATCTTCTTTATTAAAATCAATGAGAAAATACTAATCCCCAAATAAAAGAGAAAAATACCATAAAGGTCGAGGATAATTCACAATAAAAGAAACGTAAATAGTCATAAGTATAGAGGGAAAGCTGCTCAAACTAGTTTTCCAGGAATAGCAGTTAAAATAACCAGAAGATACCATTTACAAAACTAATAATAAACAGTACATACTAAAAAATACTTAGCCAGGAGACCAATGAAAGTCACAGCCACACACTGCAGGCAGGACTTTAAATAGCAGCCATTTGGCAGAGTAATTTGGTAAAATGTATCATGAGCCCTTAAGACTGTCTGATCCAGTACATTTATTTCTAGAACCCTATTTTCAAAAGTCAGAAATATAGACAAGGGTTTATGTGCAAAGACGTTCAGTGAAACAGTATCCATTATTTTAAATTGAAAACTTATATAATCTAACAATAAGGAAACAGGTAAATAATTTAAGCATACCCATATAATAGAATTAATACTTCAATCACTAAAAATCTTGTTTTCTGGGCACATTTAACCACATGGAAAAATGCCAATGTTCCAATTTTAAGTAAGATAAAATTACACACATGCTTGTATGCGTACACACATAGTATGGTCCTGATTTCGTATGTTGAATGCGTAAGTATATATGAGCATGGTGAGAAACAATGGAAAGAAATACACAAAAATGTTAATATAAGTTACATTTTGTGATGAAATTATAGAAATTTTCATTTTCTTCATATTTCTATGTATTTCTTAAATTATACATAACCGATATATGCTATTTTCATAATTAGAAAGTAAAGGTCTAGGATAAAATGCAAAACCCGTCAGCATACCATTCCAGGCCTATGGCACGGTTTGATACCAAATACTTTTCCAGCTTTAACAAACAGCCTCTAGCACCACAACCAGGGTCCCTCATCCTTGATCACTTTTACGTATTTATTCCTCTGCCTAAAATATTCTCCTTTCCTCTACTCCAGTCCCTTTTCTTCCATCAAGACCCTAATTCTCCCAAGGAACGTTAGTCCACGATAAATCTAGTTCTCGTAATATTTTATATCTACTATACCTCACAAATTTGTGTGTCTTGGCTATATTTTTTGGTTAATTTGTATATTTACACTTGGGTACCACAATGTCTTACTGCTTTTGTGTAACCCTAAGCCTATCAGAGTACTTGGCAGAACAAAGAACATCATAAAAAATCTTTATAAAATTGTTTTAAATTGCTAATCACCTCTTCTATCATAAAATTACAACAACATCCCCTTAACTGATTTCCTTTTTGTCTCAGTTTTTCCATCAATGTTTCTTTCTAGCTTAAGAGGCTTCAACTGCATTTTATAACCTGTAGATAAAATCTTTGCAAAGCAAAGACTTCTTTGCAAAGTACAAAACACCCTCCCAAACACATTGCTGCCTACTCCTCCAAATTCATCTCTAACCACAACCCCTAAATCTTTTACTGCAATCTAATTAAACCACGTGTACTTTCCAGAACCATGCAGTCTCAGGCATCTCTGCCTTGCATCGCTTATGGCAGGATGATGTTCCTTTTTCAATCTCCCTACTGCCACTCGAGTCATACTTCTACCCATCCTTCAAGACGCATCTCAAGTGGCTGCTCTCCCAAAAATTATTTCCAGGATTACCACTAACTCTGCCTCTTTTGTATAAATCTCTGCTCCAAATTAAATGATATTTAAAGGGAAGTAGAAAATAAATACTATTGGGTTGTCGGAAAAGTCATGGCATATTTTTTCTGTTTTTTTGTTGCAAAAATGCATCATGACTTTTCCGACAACCCAATATTTCTATACTATAGCTAAAGAACCTAAGGTGTATAAGTAATAGACAAATTTACATTATATTTATATCTTTTACAAGTAAAAAAAATTCAAGATTTTCTGAATTTCATTCCTGTATGTAATTCATTCATTCCATATTCACATATGTTTGTGCAAGACACTGGGGATACAAAGATAAACAAGATGGTTTTCTAGTCATGGAACTCAAAAATAATAGTAAATAGTTCACATAAAGAAATTATTACAATGTGGTATGAATGGTGCTATAAAAAGGGGGGATTATAACATAAGATAAGGGACACAATGGAGAAAAGTACCAAGTCCACCTTGGTGACCAGGGGGAGCCTCACAGAAGGAGTAACTTGGCAGAAAGACAGCAGGATGTGAAAAAGGATAAAGGCAGGAATCATCATAGGATGGATGCTGATGAAACCACAGGTGAGCAAGATGAAGAATGCAATGGATGGCTCGTCGAAGGTCCACACCGAGGGGTCTGAACTGTGTCCTGCAGGCTCGGGAGCCACTAAAGCAGAGCTTCTCTCAGAATCATCAGAGGTGCTTGTCAGAATACAGGGTCCTGGACCTGACAGCCGGCCTGAGTCAGTATCTCTGGGAATGAGCCAGACTCTGCCTAATGATCACTCCAGGTGACTTCAGGCCGTCAAGTTTGAACACTCCTGTCTAAAGACTTAAATGAGAGAGTAGCATGATTAAACTTAATTTTATAAATTAAAATTATAAAATTTGACCCACCAGCAACGTTGGCTGAAAAGCAGTATCAGAGCCATGACTATGAACCAGAAGGAATCAAGCCATCCAGATGAGGGCAGATGCACATATGCAAAAGTGTAAAAATGCAGAAAATGGGAAGGACTGAAGAATGCGTACATCGCCTTTTGTTTCTCACAGCACGGCGCCTTACAGCCATTTTGTCAAACGCTGAATGTGTAATGTCAGATCCTATACCTAATGCTTTGAACCTACTGACACTAATTTGACTGAATGATACACAAAATGATATATTTAGAACTACATTATATCTAACATAATATTATTGATATGAAAATCATTATCAATAATGATAGCTACCACATCTTAAGCTGTTGCTGTGGCCCAGGCATTATGCTAGGCATTAGGGTTGGTTATGCCACAGCACAAGGTACAAAATCATCTCATATCAATATTAGGTAGATAGACGTGACACTAGGTATGAGGGAAAAGGTTAAAAAGAAAGCCCACCAGAGTACTTCAGTAGATACTGTCTTTCCAGTAAAGATCTACAAAGTTATTTTAGGAGAAAGGCACACCATTTCTACCACAGGATATAAAAATCAAACATGTTTGGTAAAAGAATTATTGAAGCA